TACGACATTCAGATTACTACTGCGACAACCACTGCTGCTGCTCCAGCCCATTATCCTCCTCCTCCTCCTACTACAACAACAACAACAACAACATCAACAACTACTACTACAACTACTACTACTATTACGGCTGTCGCTAACACTATGTCCACTACAACATTATGTTGATGATAGATAGGCAATAATAATAATGATGACAACAACAATAATAGTAGTAATGCTAATAATAATGATAATAATAATAATAAACAGAATCAGAATTTAGATCATTTAAATGGGAGTCTTCGTCCCTGCCTGTCAAGGCCAACCCTGGCTAAGGGGATACAAACATCTCTAAGTAGAAAGACCTTGTTACTAAATGACAGTTCTCCCCACACGGGAATCGAACTCAGGAGGAGGAGGAGAAGAAGAAGAAGGGCTTGCAAAAAAAACCCCAAAAATCCGGATCCATAACGTGGCTCAAACTCTTGATCATGTCTATAATATGTTTATAATTTCATTATGTGTACAAATGGACATTTTACTTGATAAAACAAATTTGGTAAATCTAACTCTAACCATACTTACCTAAATAAATCACTTGATAGTTGACAAAGTTTTGATGGGTACTGGTGATGATTAAAACATTAGTTCAAGAAAAGACCCCTTTATATCAGGAGAAGTTAAAAGGTGCGCAGCGGGGAAGCATGTAGCCGGTTTTAACTTACAGGTGTCAACGAGTGTCGCGACGGTCTGGTGAAATCGAAGCGGCTATGTACATGGCCGGTTTGTCAATCCCATTTTTTCATCAGCTACAGGTGTCCGTTTTGGAAAGTCTCAATTAAAACGTATTTCTAGGTGGGGTTTTTTTTTCCAAATCTAATACATGTAATATTTATTGGGGGCACGTATTAAGCTATTTATTCTACTTGTTAAGCAAATAAAAAGAAAATTGAAATTGTTGCATGTAACCGGTTTGTGAATCCCATCGACGATATTTAGTTAGGTGTAATATTGAAAAACAATAGGGCATGTCAGGTTTATTATGTCTTTTTTTGTGCAAAATTTTCAATGAATCTTGAGAAATGAAATGAGATTGAAATATAACTTCGCTTTGCTGTCCTCGTCAGATCTTTTATATATTGTATAAATTTTAAAATTTCTTTTTTGCCTTTCGAAGAAAATTTGTCCTTCCTGGATATGAAATTAAAACCATTTGAATACATATATATCATGTGTGAGTTGTGTTTGTTTATTGTAGAATCACCGCCAATGGCTTCGCACGAATACTAATGACTGCTAGTTTTGTTCCCATCAGCAGCTTTCTCTTTTTCAGTTCTGTAAATCGCGAAGAATTCCTACTAGATGTCCCCAACATAATTTTTTGTCAGTGTTGGCTCATGTGTAATGTGGTACAGAATAACATTATTGAGCTACGTTTTTCTGTGTCTTTTCAAGACTGTCCACTTACTTGGCATGGTGTAATTGGGGATTGAGGTGGAATTTGGATGACGGGCCTCATATATGTGTGCCTGGAGAAAGGTCCCAGTTGTCAGCAAATTGAGCAAAGCCATTTTTGAGCAATGGGGTGAAAAGACCAAAAAGTTCGTGCCTGGTAACAAATTTAGTTTAATCAGAAAACACACATTTAACCATTTCTTAATAACATATTGAAAGGATTTTATAACCCATTTTAATTACCAGTAGTTATTTTTACATGTGTTATACTTCACCGAACGTTAAAATTGTTTTTGTTTTTTTATTTTCTCAAAACTTTATTTTTACACCCAGTGTTACAAAATGTGGAACATCTCTAAAACTACTCAAAATAATGGAAAAATTTTAAAAATCAGCTACAACAAAAATTATGCTCTTTTTTTCAATATCCAAAATTTACGACACTGGGCCCTTTCTCCAGGCACACACACTACATAATGATACCCTTAACCCTTTAGTTGAGAGGGGAGTTATACATGAAGTGTATATCATATTATACCTATTATATGCCGTGTAATCAGACAAATCCTGCGGGTGGTTGGAGGTCGCCACTGGTAGGTTCTTCTGATTTACTATCCTTCTGTTGCTGCTGTCTGTCTGTCTTCTTCCCAGCACTAAATAACCATTATTGCGTTGATGTGCTTCTCTTTACCCAAACCCAAAACAAATAAATTAGACAAATGTCATTTTCTTTTCAGGGTGCTCAAAACCTTTTTAAAAAATGTAACTGTAGAGATTCATTGTAGATACATGTATTTTACGCCCCCCGTCCACGCAATTTGGATCAAAATTCAAATAGTATAAGGAGGCAGGCTGTTTGGATTCTACCTATACTGTAAGGGTAGTGTAAGAGTTTGTTTGTTTGTTTTTGTAAAGTGTTTTACGGCGCTCGCAACTGCATAAGGTCATATGAGCGCGCGGGACACACCTAATATTTTCAGTAGGTAGGAAATTTTGAATTTTGCCCGCGTGGCGTCCGAAGCCTACTCTTGTCGATTTTAGACCACCAAGGGATCTTTAACGT